TTCGACCAACCACGCGGGACCTAGCAGTAGCGTGTTGCAAATTGTTGTGGCACGGAAGCTAACGAAGGGCTCCGGACCGGCGCGGCGCGGCGGCGGCGGGAAGGCAAAATTTTGGGGCGACCGAGGGAGCGAGGGAGAGGGGGAAATGGCTGTCAGGAACTGTCTATCCGTCTACCTGGGGTTCGCGGTCGCGCTTCTAAGGCAGAAGAAAAGAAAAAGATACGCATGCGTCGGTCAGAGGAGGGCAGCATGTAGCGTAACCGTCGGAGAATAACATGCGCGGGTTTTTGTGGTATTCAGGCCTAGAAGCCAGTGCTGAGAGGCGAAAGACAAAGTCACAGACAATCTGCTTGGTGAGTGTCCTACGTCTTTGGTCCGTAAAAGAGGACGACGGCAACACCCAACGTCGGGTCGACAAAATGAATGTTGTGGTCTCTTCGGTCAGTCTCTTGGAACTTGCTCCTTATGAGGCCGGTAGAGAGGCAAGACACGCGGTGCCGGGCACAAGCACAGCTTTTTCGCGTGAGCAATAAGTGACGAGACAAGAGACAACAAGCTTGGGGGGGAAGAGACAACTGAGTCAAGGTAACGCTAATGCGTATGGGGGCTGCCGCTGTCCGTATCACAGGATGTACCGAGCACCGTTTGTAATATTGTTGGCACTGGACTCTGGCCCCGTTGTTTGTGTCTCCTCTCTCCTGTCAAGGATCATCTTCATTGTGCCCTTGCTAGACCGGCTGGCCTTGTTAACCCCGAAGAAGCAAGGGCGGGTGATTAAGCTGTGAGGTGCGCCATGGCGTTTTTATCCCTGCCGCTAAAAACCATCTTGGTCCTCGTAAGTAACCCCCCTGGTCCTTGACCCTGGAAGGCCAGGTCCCATCACATCGATGGGCCGCCACACCTGCTCAGTTCTTTCATACCCTCGCTGGCTCTATCTCGACGGCGGCAGCAGGCGCGTAAGGCGCGTGAGGCAACGGTGAGTGAGATTCGCCTTCAGGTTGCCCGCCCTACCGATCGTGACTAGCCGGTACTGCTTCTAATATCGTGAGGCGGCGTCCTGCTAGCTATTGGAGAAGCACTCATTCCCTTGTGTTAAGGGCTCTAAGCTCGTCAGGTTCCAAGTGGGGAGGCCTGCAATCCAACCATTGACCTTAATGTTTCTAACAGCTCCTAGACATCTCTTTAGTTAAAAGTCCAAACTGCTTCTAGAGAGGCAGAGAGTAGCACCTGGTCAACGTCCCTTTTAATGCAGGTACTCTCCCCAGACTTATCTCACGCCATGACCTTCCGGTCTTCTTGACTTTGCTTCAACACCCCTCCGCTGGTCCCTCGGTTGAACTGTTTCCTCTTCGCTTCTTGTTGTCTCCTTTCGCCCCCGCTATCCCGGCGGTTTACACTCCAAAAACCCACTCTCGGTAGGCGTGGTTCTTTGCCTTGAAGCGAACCACTCTGCTGGTATCTCATCAATAGGCTCTCAGTTCGACGCGCCGCAACGGTTGTGCGTCGCCCCTGGGGCCCGGCGGCTCTGATCATCAAACGTCTGGCATCGCTACTTGTTACCGCTGCCCGCTGCCGCTGCCGCTGCCGCTGGCCTTCCGTGGTGTTCTGACCCGGCCGACTCCGAAACTGTCATACTGTAAGGTTTTGTTCTCTCATCTCTCCCATTAATTATAGCACGGCCCATCGGGCTTGTCCCCGGCGCTCCCTGCCACGAGCCGTCCAAATGGAGAGTTCACCAGAATCAGTCCGTCCGGTGAAGCGCGTCAAATACGCGCGACAAGACGATACGATCTCACTGAGCATAGCCACATCCAGCATCAGGGCCTCCGACAGCGTCGACGGATCCCTGGTTACTGATGTCCCTTTACTCGAAAATACATGGCCTGCGACAACGGGAGTATCGTCTCCCTCAGAGGTCCTATTCGACCTCCCCGAAGACCTTGGCAATTCGTGGGCCCCAGCTTTTACAGGTAAGGAAGTGAACCTGTTGTCACTCACTCCATGTATCCAACTCATTTCACCCATCTTTCCTCATGACTCTGCCTTCTCGGAAACTCTTCAGATCTTAACTCTGACCCGTTGTCCCTGTCAAATCCCTGTGGAGGATCTTGAAGTCTGATGGGTCTCCGATGAAAGAGGTGTAAACTTGGGCAGAAAGGAGATGAGAGAGAACATGCTGCACCCACCCACCCCGCTCTTACTCCCACCCTCACCCCGTTGCACAATCCGACTGAGAATCCATCTTTCATCCATCATGTTCCCGACTTTGTTCCAATTCCTGCCGAGAAGATCAAAACTGCCCGTCGACCCGATCATGCCATGGTAGACTATCAAGTCCGTGAGCTGACGTTCCATGCAGCACCCCAGCCTGCGTTGAATCTTCAGGTAGCCACAGCACCTCAACCTGAACCTGAACCTCAACCTCAACCCCCTCGCTCTCAGGCACAGCGACTGCCTCGCCTCTTGCCTGCGGTGCACGATGCTCTTCCAGAGCGGGCTGTCGAATCGCAAGACTCGAAGAAAAGAGGCCTGGTACCAGTAGAAGGGCTCGTTGTAAGTCCGTTCACCGCGAATGAGGACCGGCTGATTGTGTCTGCCTATCCTCGCTATGCTCGCCCTGAGAATGGACAGGTGAATGGGTATGTTAAATTCAACTGGCCTTCGCGAGCTCCATCGAGACGGCCGTCTGGCCCTGTACCACTCCCGTCAGAGGATGACGTTGAGGACATAACGCCCAACGTAACGCGATCACACAGTGCCGGTCGTCCTCCAACCACAATAACTCTGGTTAACCCTGGGCCTGCCGTGTCTTCCGCGCCAAATGGGACTGTTTCGCCCATGGACCTAGAGGGAGGATGGGGAAATACTTCATCGCCAGTATTGATGGCAGGTTCTCCGGTTTCCCTTCAAGACACTTCACAAATCCTGATAGCTGGTGACCCAAAAATGCTGCCTCCTCAGTTCGGATTCCAAGCAAAGATGGATCATATTGACAGACGATTGTTTGAGTTCTGTAAGTCTTTGAAAATTGCTTATCGGCGTTTTGTGCCTTGAACAAGCGTTTGCTCACCACTCGGCAGATATCAAGAACTGGTGTCCGGGAAGGAGTGTGCTCAGCAACACAAACCTATGGTTGAAGGATCTGGCGCCGATGCATAAGAACGAAGGTATTCTCCACGCTATTCAGAGTCTTGCCGGGGTGTATATCTATGATTATATTCCGGATGAGCGCATCCGCCAGCGGATCAATCAGCGATATATCACGGCAGATCAATATTTCAGCACACTCCTCAATGCGCCTGAAAGCAGGGAAAATGGTAAAGGGCAGGAGGTCATCACCATGGCCGTGCTTCTCTCAATGCAAGATGTATGTATGATGTCGCTACAGAATTATTGACCGTGCGCCTTCGATATTGTGAAGTGACCTGACTGGTATTTAGATTGTCCTAACGGAACGACGACTCAAAAAGCCATACAATCCGCGATGGCTGGAAGGATTCAGGCAAGGCGAATACTTTCTGCAGGCAACTGACCCTGGCGCTCGCTATTGGAAAAACAACAACGTCCAGTACAACGAACTTCGCATCTCTCAATCAATCATCGTTGGCCGGGCAGTGATTCTCGCTCAACCTATGATGGCCCTTCCCTCACCGCAGACTTTTAATCCTGAGGCTGAAGCAGGCAGGTTCAGCTGGCTGCTCTATGGAACAGAGAAGGATATGTTTGAAATCCATGGAGGTTGTGGCTTTTCGAAGAAATTGTTGCATCTTATGAGCCAGGTAACGTATTGTGCAGGTCGATTGCAGCAAGAGCCTGAATCCACCATCGTTCCAATAACGGCAAAATTTCTCTTGCGCGAACTATCAGAAATGCGACAATGGAGCCGTGAGGGCAAAGACTGGGAGCTGGCTCGAAAGTACCCACCAACGATAGACTGGGTGCGCGACAAAGCAGACGAAGTGATAATCGATTCCAACCAAATCATGACCGAGGTTACAGCTGAGGCGTGGAGGATCGCCGCAATTGTTTATTATCAATGTCGTCTTCTGAGGTACGAACATGCGATGAAGGAGAAGAAAAGGCCCGAGGAGGGAGAGAAGTGGACAAGCTGAAGGAAGTTGGAGATCCATTGGCATAATGGGCGTTGATTTTGCAACAGCCGAACTCACTTCTTCCCCCTCTGCCGGTTCAACACTTACACACTGCCTGCTTTCCCTGCCACACCATCTTGCCTACCTCACCTCAAGTTGCGTTAACAACAGTAGTGGCAAGAGCGCTCGCTGACTGAACCTTCCATTAGGCTGCCTCGAAATCACCCGGAAGTTCTTGCCAATCTTGACGATCTCGCCCGTTGCATACGAATTATGCCTACATCGGGGTCTCACTTTACAGCTCAAGCACCCCTATTACCCGTGTTTTTCCTAGGATTACTCGCCACTCAAACTGTACACAAGGATGTTTCGATGGATTGGTTCGAGCAAGTGGTTCAAACGCCAGTCCGCAGTGTAAGTGCAAAGAAAAGAAACGCAAACCTCCCATTTTTAGTAATCTATGGCAAGACGCAGGCTGGTTCTGCCTTTGCCCAGGTCTACTGCACCCAACACTACCCACTCTAGTTGCAGAATTAGGGGCTAATTATCTGTCACCTCAGAGCGTCCCCCCCTTGTACGACGCACTTTTGCGCATCTGGGGGTGGATTGACAAAGAAGTTCAAATCCCGCGAGATCCAACTGCTCTCTCCAAAGATATCGGTAAGAGGTACCCTTGGTGGGAACACCTTGTTGCAAAGGTCCTCGAAGCAGAAGAGGAAACCCTGTGTCTAACCTGACGAAACGCAACGAACAAAACCTTGATCTGTCCATCCATTTTGGGATTACAATACCTTCCATTACTCGTAAAAAGGTACTGTCCGCAGATATCCTCAGCAATAGTTGCCCGCCTTTTGGTGAAAATTCTTTTAGGAATTAGATGTGATGGTAGCGGCCAGCCGCGGAGCCAGATTAGTAACTGACTCCTGAGACGGCACTGTCGGCGTCGTCTCGCTGGTCCTTGCTGTCTTTACGGCGAACGAGATATTGCCCTGAAAACAAGTCAGTATGAAACACGTAACAGAAGAAAGAGAAGAAAAACAGAGAGGGAGGGAAAAGACAAAGAGAGAAAAAAAAACAAAGGAAGAAATCGCCAGGGGGTATTAATAGGAGGGAACTTACGGAACTCCGATCCTGGGGCCTGCCACACATCGATTACGCTCAGTCCTGCCTTGTAGCACATGAGGCGCACGTTATCTTCGCCGTACTTGTGAGAATCGAACCAGTCGAACTCTTCGCCTTTCTGGATGATGCGGCTCATTTTCTTAAGCTTCACATCTTTCTTGGCCCGGAAGAAGAACCGATGACGAGTAGTGGGCTCATCCTCCAATTGCGCGAGGAGCTCCCAATCCTCCTCACGAAACCATTCCTCACCTGCCAGACGGTTGGCATGCTTAAAGCCGTTCAAGAAGAACTTGTGGTAGAGGTCGTCGCAAGAGTGGTAGGCGTTCCAGATCTTCTCCTTGTTGTTGGGAAGAGTGTGGCCGTCCATTCCAATTAGAAGCAGGTCGTCAGGTCGCAAGGCATCGGCCCAGAACTTCAGGTGAGCAAGTGCTTCAGGCCAAGGATCGTTGCAGAGCACCGAACCTAGCGAGAGAAAGAGACGGGGTGTCGAGATCTTTTGGATATAGCTCATGCCGTCGCCAAAGGTACCCCAGATACCAGCACAGGTCACTGAAGACTCAGGACTCGGGTGCTGCTCCACGAGGTATTTGACGTTGTGATTCAGTGACGATCTGGATATGTCCAATGCGAGGTACTTGGCGGGAACTTTGCCCTTTTCAAAGGCTGCGAGAAGGTGGCCAACCTTGCGAGTGTCACTGGATGGGGTCGTGTTAGTATGGAGAGGGTAAGCTTACAGCCACCACTCATCGAGGGTGGGCAGAGTGCGGGGCAATAGAGGATGAACTAACCCAGCTCCTAGATCGATAATTGTGACACCAGCTGGGCATCGCGCAGCAACGTCGGCGCCATGCTCATCAAACAAAGCAATCTCGTCATGAGTCTGATAGAATTCAGGGGTGAAGATGATTTGATTCCAGATCGGCAACCCGACATCGTCGTACAGTAATTCGTCGGGCAGCGTGGGTTTGGAGGTGGGAGAGTATGGAGCCGTGAGGGCCTCTTGCAATCGCTTGCCAACGCCGTCATACATGTTGCTACCGCCGATATCGACTACGGCTCCATGCGTGGGAGCATCATTCTTTGGATCCATCATGGCAATCGAAGGACATCAATCAATCCAAGCATTCGTTTTCCAAATGTCGTTATGCAAAATCGGAGGAGTGTGTGACTATACTTCCAAAGTTAACAGGGTCAAGCACACACAAAACAATTCCACGCCTCCGGGTCACGTTACCACTTGGGAAGATTTTTTTTATAAAAAAAAAAAGAGGTGTGCGCTGTGGAACGATATGTTACGGCACGATACGATATGGTAGTGTTATATTCAAAAATAGGTTTGTGGAAAGGTATTTGCGGTTGAGATGGTCTATAACAAACCTCGATGCTAGCGAGTGAAGGAAGAAGAGATAGCGACTCAAGGCACGCTCTTCCCGACTTTATACCCGGCAAGCAGATGCGAGAAGGCGGTTACTGTGATTACTACCGCTGTCAAGTTACTGGTAAACACCGGCCAGTGCTACCGGCTGTCACTGCTCAATGGAGACGACCGCCCAGGGATGAGTCGAATAAGGGCCGCAGACGATGGGAATGTGTGAGGGCGGACGAGACAGGCAGGCAGGCAAGGGCCGTGATATGATTTGAGTCGATCTGATTCGAGACGATTCAAGAGAAAGGGAGATAGAATTGCTGCTGTGGCAGCGTGGATCCTGTCTGTTGTAACAAAGCAGTGCAATGTCTGATTGTGTTTTTTTTTTCTCTTTTGTTTTTTGCCCTTGGGGTGCCGTTTTGACAGCTCAACGTCAGTCCCAGTGCAGTGCATGCTAGGCAATGCAGCTCGGTCTGCTGCTGCTGGATAACACGCCCGTACCCATAGCTATACCCCAGTCCTTGGAGTGTGTTCGGGTGCGTAAGGTGGTAGAATAAAATGGGATGGATCTTGGCCATGTCCCAGACCTGACCAGAAGTGGTTCATCCTACATTAGGGCGAGAGCGTGGAGGGTGACATTCTCATGCTTCGACATTGACATCCCCACCATAATAAGACATGGGGTTCCGGTACGTGCTGGGGAAGTTATCAAGACCCTTGTTTTCGCTCTTTGGAGCTGCGTGCTTTCTTTTTTCTTCTTCTTGTCGGTACTGGAAATCAATTCATAGTGCTATCTACCTTGTTTCATGTGTCTCGCTCTCGTATTAGTCTTGTAAGTGCCATGCGTCGACCGATATGGGACTCAGCTGGCTCATCTTTTGCAATCACATAGACATGTACTTCAGCTTCGGCTTTAGCCACATGCTACTGTACCTAGGCGGACCATGCCCCTGCAGAGCGCGCTAATGAGGCTCCAGGATGTGGTGAGAAACAAGAGCCCATTTAGGCATTTGGGGCCTATGGCCTGTCTGTGTCCAGGTCCCCTCCACAATTGCTCGAGGTTGTGTTGCAAAACTCGTAAAACACAGCACAAGCCAACCTGCGGCAGGCTTCAAGGCACCAGCGCATCTCGACTGCCTTGATGTGATAATATGAACTCAATCCAATGATGAATGCTCTCAGGTATCTCAATGACCCATCTTTATCCCCACGGGCCCGCCTTCGCCCGTTCTAGCCGTGCCGGGCGCTATTTTCCCCTTCCATGCCTCTTTTGTTGTGGTCTGTGGTCTGTGGAAAGCCGGGTGAAGTTGGCGGACGGTTTTGAGAAGGTGACTGGTCACCTTGGCACAGAGAAGAGAGAACGTTGAAGCTATTTTCAGTCAAGGTGGCTGCACTAAAGCGCAAGGCCTGGTAGGGCACTTTATTCACACCAACCTGACCAGCCCTGGACGGTGAGAGGCAAGCAGATGCACGTCATGGTTTGAGACGGATCCCGTTCGAGCTAGAGAACAAGCAGCATGAGCGTGACAGATGGAAGATAGCGTGGTTCAGATCGGACTCCATTGGTTGCAAAGCTTTGAGTCATTTCCCTTCTTGGACTGAAAGCGTGATGGTTTCATTCTGTGGGTAGTACAATGGCGTTGTTGATCCCCAGTGCTATCTCAACGGCGGTTCCTGACACCCTCAGCTGTTCTATTCAGAACCCTTGGTGCAAATCGTCTGGGGTCCTGCTGCGAATCTCGAGCAACGAAGGCGAGTCTTTCCGAAGATGGAGCATGCCATTGTCGTTGTCCCACGGTTAAGTCTCAACACCTTGACCGCCTGTTGATTCATCATTGGAAAGAGCATGCTCTCCAGCTGCTTGACCAGGCTCGGCCCCAATTATGCCCCCATTCTACCGCGGCACAGATCATTGTTGCATCTCACGACGGCCTGTGATATGTAGGCGGTGGGGAAGATTGCGTACCTGTCCAGCTGCTGCAGTTGCTACTGGACGTACTGCATACGTGTAACGAAGCAGTGCGGTTGAAAAGTCTGACAGAGTTGGAGTTCAGATGGGTTCCGCAAGAGATCCCTGTGCAAGAAGATGTTTGTTTCGGAGTACCCAGTCAAAATTTGTCAAAAAGTGCCCACTCCTCTGATCCAATGTGGTTCGTCTTGAAGCGGAGGTGTGCTGCAAGAGTGAGATGCAGAAAAATAGCCCGCCGCTATCGCAAGGGTTCGATTGCACTAGACTGACACTAAACTAGGTAGACTGAACTGAACTAAACTGAACTAAACTGATGAGCTGGGAGCCTTCCAGTACCTGGCAATATACCCCAGGCTTCCATAAAACGATATGTGAACTCGGAAGCTCACTCTTGAACACGGTGAACTCTGGACCCTGTGGCCTCCTGGAACATCGAAGTTAAGCTTCAACATCGTCGACGGGGCTCGTTTGTCTGTACGTAAGTCTTGGCCAAGGTAGACATCAACTAAGAGCAAGGAAGGGAACTCCCGTGGTGCTAAAATGGTTTCCTTTTCTTCCCGCGGTCCGCCGAGACTTAATTGGGGCCTCTACATTGATTGATTCTCACTGGCAAGGTGTTTCCTACAGCAAGAAGATATTAATGTATGAATAGGCTCTTTGTAAGACAGGTAGTAAATATCTGGCAACGCGACGTGAGTGGCCTGTGATATTCGTTGGCCATCAGCTGCCCGCTTCACAACAGACTCGTGTCCTCCCAACTCCGGTTTTCGTCACCTTGTTTCTATTCCCGTCACTGGTTGTTCCAACGATCCATATCGGTTCGGCTTCGACTCACATATTAACAGCGCAAGGCTACGCAACAGAATGCTCAACCATCACTGTGGGTTGCGGTTAGTGACGTTATAGGCATGCCACCCCTTTACGATCTTAGCCGCCGACCGACAAACTCAATTCAGACACATTCGCCTTCAGACCCAGGTCATGGTGGAAAGGCTCAACTGCCTTGTTATCAACCGGGTATAGTTGCCGCCTAACACGGCAAGATAGCGTAAATTGGTCATTATGCACTGCCTCTGACGAGAGCTCGATCATGCCCGATGACAGGATAGAGCCTTGCATGATGATGAACGCTAGAGAACACCTTCCTACCTACTATGTAAGCGGGGTGGACTGATAGATTTCGATCGACAGGTTTCCCCGTGGGCGCACACACCCTTCTGCAGCAATGAAGGGTCGCTCACAATCACAACACCGCTTTACAGCCTTATAGCAGGGCCATATTTTGTCAGATCATAAGAAACACGCTGCTCTCCGACCTGGGCACCGAGAGTTAGGCTAAAAGTTTAGGAGTATAAAATTTGCTTGGTAGTGCTTTCTGGTCTTTGGAAGTGACAAAACTGATGCCTTCTATAAAATGGTAGGCAGATATGTTCTGGATAGAAGACAGGATATGTTAGATGCTCACCCACATCACATCCTGGGCTGTGTCTAGCCAGCAAGTAGCCTGACAGATCGCGATTGGGGTCTGTCACCCTGTCCTGGGGTAGGTGAGGTGTGGTAACACAACAGGATCCCTCTCTAATGGTGTTGTCTACCTGCACAGGTGTTGTCTCTAGACTCCACCGGACCTCAGGGCCGAAAGGCTGTGGGTGTCCCCAGGCCTTGACTGATTTGCCACTCCCAAGATACTGGTTAGGGCTATCTATAGTTAGTTTCTTTCTTAATCACTGCTATATCACCAACAATACCGTCTCATGTGATGTCCCCCAGGACGCTATTCCGTGCTGTCACGTCGATAGTTGTCTTTTGAATGCGGACGAGGTCTTTGTTGGGCAATAACGCAGTGGTCAAGCGAGACCAGGGCATGGACAGGGGGGAGCACACAACGCACACGCACATACAGCACACAGCGTGAACAACACGCCATGAAATCACCGATAGCCAAAGAGATGGGTATTTTACAATGCTCAATGGGTATTCACCGACCAATTCCATGCGTTTTGGAACATACAACTTGAAGCACTTTAGTCTGTCCTTTTCTTTTCACCACAAAGAGCGCACGTCGTCCAAGTTGAAGCTGTCAAGTCGAGAGAGCCTCAAAAAAGCAAAACAAGCATGGAGAGAACCACAATTCATGCCACGGCATGTGGAGTAGCGAGCAATTAACCTTTCCTTTTGCCGGTGATGATGCTGATCATATCAGGTGATCCTTGCCCTTGAGCTCTTTAACTGCTCAATAAACGAGACCATACAGCACACGACACGGCACGGTTAATGTCCAATATACGGAGTTATATCCAATGCAATGCAATGCAATGTCATGTCATGTCATGATACTCTGTGTATGTGATATGTTGGACGCCAAGACCTCAATTCACAGTCACCCAAGGCCCCAAAAGGACCTAACACGGAAACAGCAGGAGCAGTTGATCGTGCCTGCTGGATCGCTAGCCGAGGCCAATTACGAGGCCGCGGTTCACTTAAGCGTGATCCGAGATCCAAGACATATCCATGAACATCCTCCATCCATCCTTGCGTAACCTTAGACAACTACCAGGTGTGACACTACCTATTGCCGGCTCGCTTACGCTGCCATTCGACCGGAAAACAGTCCGCCGGCCTTTGTTGAGCCTCGGGGCTTTAGCGATGCAGTTCTGTCAGTTATGATGGGCAAATGAGAAGCCAGCATCGTCACAGTGCAATGGTTTTTTCAGTACTCGACGATACTTGACAAGCAAGCCACGGCACTATCGCT